CAGGGGCAGGGGCAGGGGAAATAAGCTCTCAGCAAGCATTTCGCGTTTTTAGGAGGCGGTTTCCTTATAAATCAAGTGCTTTTTCTTCTCTGGGCCCTGGCCTGAAAATGTTCTGAATACACCCACCACCCACCCTCTTTTCAGAAGAGCGATTAGGCTGACAAAATAGACATGTTTAAACTTTAGGCACCACACCCCATTTTGCCTAATGGCCCCCAAATGATTCAATCATTGTGATTGATTAGAAGAGAAAGAATTTAATCACAACATGGATAAAAAAATATATATAAATATATTTCCGTACCATAAAACCTCAACATTAGAACCCTTTTCTGAAACGCCATCACTGCAACGCCTGAGAATCTGGACCTTTTGTTCACAGAACCATTAATCTGGAGCCTTCCTGTTAAACAAAAGGTTTTTTTGATCCAACAAATATTTGTCTGACATAACTAACTATGCGCAAAAATTATGGCACCCCAGGGCCGTAAGCAAAAGGTCTTGAATGGTCTTAAAAGAATGACAAATTGTTTTTCTCTCTCTCCGCTGACTCCCTCCCTCCTGCACACACCCAAGACACACGGGTAGCCTAGGGCCACAGGTTCAGATGATACCACCCTCATGAAAAGAATCAGTTTCTAGGGATTAGGGATTTGTTTTCAACAGAAAGAAGGACTACGGTGGAATGTACAAACTACAACTGACTGGAAAACAGGTTTTTTTGTCTGTTGGTTTTTAAGCAGTGCAAGAATGCATCCATACTAGCCATAGTCTTCACAACAAACGTCTTGGTGAGGTGTCCTTTCGTAGGGTCTGGAGGAAAAGCTGACGCCCCCTTGGCGTGAGATCTGATGCTCTCGAGAGGGGAACGTCTGGCTGCCTGGCTGGTGACCAGCTTCCTCCCCTGCCTTTCTCTTTCCGAAACCACAGGCCCTGGGCTGTGGGAGCGTGGCGCAAACAGTCCTGAGCAGAGGAGCTCTGGGAGGAGCACTGATGATCTCTGTTGGCTTCGCCATGTCCGTCACCCTCGCCGTCTACGTTGCGGGAGGCGTTTCTGGTAAGCCGGCATTTGCCACCCCATCGGTTTTGGAAAAGAAGTCCTCTAGCAGAATGGCCGAGAGGGGGGTGGGTTGCTGCCCGAGCCTTGTCCTTGCCACTTGGCTTCCCTACAGCCCTTTGCTTAGAAGGCGAGTCCTGCTCGGCACACAAAGGTCCCAAGGGCAGTGAAAGCGGGGGAAGAATCTCTGCCAGAACCCGCCAATTCCAAAGAAGACCAGCCTTCAGATGCGCTGGGGCCAGAAACCCACTGGCTGGGAGGCCTGGGAGCTCCGGCCCCAGTAGGGGGAGGACACCAGACTGGATACCAGACTGGGAAGGCCCGGTTGGACAGACCAAGGATGAAGTAGCCTCAGTTAAAGGTCCTGAGAAAGCGTCTCCTTCCAGGGGCTGCAAGATGACCTCAGGAAGGTCTCTGGTGCAGAAGAGCGGCCAGTCCTGTGAGCCAAAATGCGTAGCGTGGCACGAATGGAAACCAATGAGGGGAGGCGGTCAAGCTGGGATCTTTCAGAATGCCTGCCCCGTTTGTTTTCTTGCCTTTTGCAAAGAGATGCAGAGAAATAAGGGTGCCAGACTGGACTGGGGGAGTGCCAAACGCCATTAGTGCAGGAGGCCAAGATAAGAGGCGCTATCAGTTCGCTTGGCCTATGCATTGTTTTCTTATCAGAGAAAAATGAATCTCGGCTTTGCTGAGGCCCCCTGCGAAAACAAACCCCAGCCGATGGGGCAGCAAGATCTGTTTGTGCTTGGAATCCAAGAGATTTTGGGGTCAGCAAAGGGACCAAAATGGGGTGCCACAAACCTTTGCCGTGGCTCAGTCAGAGGAGCCTCCGCTTGGGTCGGCTCCTTTGTGGTTCCAGAGCCCGTGGCAGATGACAGTGGATACCTGCATTCGGCAGGGGGTATTTGGAGGGGAAACCCACCCCCACGATTGAAAGCCCCCGGCCTGGGCGTCTGTGGAGGCAGCCCCGAGTAATATTGAACCCGATCCCAGCAACCCCCTTTCATTCCTCAGCCGTGACCCCCATCTGCCAAACTGAGTCACTGGTGATCCACAACGATTTCTGCTAATCCATTATTCATTCTTCTTGTTGCTCTTCTGAAATAAGCCATTAATCTTTGCCCATGACTTAAAAGAAGGGATATAAATAATTGTAATCCATAAATAAGTTATCAGGCTTTAAAAGAGAGAATGCTGGAAAAGCCTTCACCTCTCGAAGCAGGCTCGAGAAGTAGAGCCACCACCACAACCCCGCACCAGAAATAAAGTCCACAAAGAAGCCCTCGCTCTCTGGGCAGGCTGGCGGGGGCCCTGTCCCGCCCCTCAGCCGCTTGCTCACCACGGATCGCCAGGGGAGAGAACAGCGAGCCTTTGGCAGCTCCCCGTGGCAGACCGAGGCTGCTGCCATCAGAAGCCTTCGATGAAGGTCGGGCCCCCCCAGCCTTCCCTCACACGGTGCTCTGGGAAAAGCAGCTCCAGAGCGCGGGCAGAGCAGGCGAGCCGATGCCCAGCCGCAGAATTCCGGGGCGGGGCAGCACTGGGCAGTGGGGGCCCTCCAGAGATCATTCACTGCCTCCCCTGTTGGGCCAGTGCAAAGAGAGGATGGCACCCAACTCGGCCCCACCTCCCCAAACCTACCGCCCAGGTGCCCCAGTGAGCCTTGGAGGTCCTTGCTCCTGCCGGGGGTGGGGGGGAGGTTGCTGGAAGGGCGCCCATCAAGACAACTTCAATTTGGGGTAAGTTAGGAATGTCACCACATATCACCCACCCCCTGCCAGGTACTATTTCAAAGTGCAGTGGGGTCTTTCACCTTAGACCTCCCCACACATGAACACCAAGCTGTCAGGGAGAAGTCCTAGAGGCCCCGTTGCATGCACACACCCCCGCCCCACAGGCTGCCAGGGGGCAGTTTAGTGTGGGCTCTACCGTTAGAACTGCCTCGTCCTGGACTGGACTGCTGCGTCAGCTGAACCGGCCCAAGGAACGCACCATCTCCTCGGCAGCCGATGCTGAGTTGGCTTTTGGGAAGCGACCCTGGGCTGAGGAGGCATTGCTCCATTGGTCAAGCGTCCAGCCAGCCTCTTGCGCATCCTCTCTCACTGTCTTCTAGGGGGTCACATCAATCCAGCCGTTTCTTTTGCCATGTGCCTGACTGGGAAGATGAAATGGGTCAAATTTCCCGTTTATGTCTTTGCGCAATGTTTTGGTGCATTTCTTGGAGCGGCCATGGTGTTCGGGATCAACTACGGTGAGTGGAAGAGCACAGTTTCCTTCACACCGGTTCGAATTTTACGGAGAAAACCTAAAACTTTCTTGCAACAGTAGGTCGTTTTTCCCAGATGGGCCAGAATTTGTGGCCACTTTTTGAGCACTGTTTGTCCACTGTGGGTCTGTAAACCCCACTGAGGCATTTCAGAGCAGAGATTTTCCTTGCCCTTTCCTCTGAAAGCAGCCTCTGCCCCAGAATCCACCGTTTCCTTTGCCACACCTGCCTGAGCACTCCTGAATTGCCTTTAGTAGCAATTGCTTCTTGCAAGGTTTAACCTTGCGTGTTCCCTTGATGGAACCCGTAATTTACTTTTTATGACCACCAATAAAACCCTTAAAACGTAGGAGCCCTTGGTCCGAGTGCCAGGAGGAAGCGATCGTTCAGCTCTGCCCCCCCCCGCAACTCCTCCTCCGTGCAGGGAACCATCACCTGCTAATTAAGAGGCAAGGTTAGGGTGGTGGCTACTCACAGTTCTCGGCGCATCGGCCCGCATATCGCGGACCAAGTGGAAGAACCTGTATTTTCCCCCCGCTTTTGGCTGGTCCAGAGGAGCAACGCAGAGCAGTGCTAAGAGGCCTTCGGGGCGTATCTAACCCAGGGCGCCTTTACCGGGCCGTAGCTGACCCTTTTTGAAGCGCTACTGGGTGGACAGTCTGCTAAGCCGAAAACGCTCCTTGCACATTCGGGCAGCCAGCACCGTGTCGCTTTCTGGGAACAATGTGGGACGGTGTTGGCGACTTCCCAGCTCTGCATTTCTCGGGGCTCTACCACCCCAGCCCCGCTTGGCCTCCCAGGACCAGCCCAGATTGGCGCGGCGGTGCCACCTATAAGGGCTCCTCCTGGTGCTGACCTCTGGATCCTCCTAGAAAGGCCCTTCCAGCGCTCTGGAACACGATAAGAAACGCTTAGTTTTAGCCCACAGAAATGGAAAGGGGGGTCATCACACCTGAGCAAGGTCGTCGTTTTTGCTTCATGAAAAACCCGATCCAACCACCCTTCCCTGGTGACATGCTTGTTTCTGACAAGACCGCTTGAAAGATTGCCGTGAGGGCGATCCATTTGCTCTTCCTCTTCCTGTCCTTCCTCCCCAGATGCGCTTATGTTCCACACTCATGGAGTCTTCACTGTCACGGGGCCCAACGCCACAGCACATATTTTTGCAACATATCCCCAGGAATATTTGTCCCTGACCACTGGCTTTGTAGACCAGGTAAAAAGCAGGCGTGAAGGCAGCTGCAGCAAGGAGTCTCGCTTTTGTCCTTTTGGGCAGGGGGTGCTTTGTGCTGGGCCCCTGGGAAGATGCAGGATGGAAATGGGGCCTCCTTAATATGCATAAAAGGCCCCTCTATGGAAAAGGGGGTATCAGGGCTGTGAGAGGCTTCCTACTGCCCAGAGTCATCTGAGGGAATTTCATTTTCTATCCCTCAAAGGGGATTCAAAACGTTTTGGGAGCAAGCAGTTGGAGAGGAGACGCTTCCCCTTGGCGAAGCCGGCCCCGGGCCCGTCGGGCGGCTCTCCGGTTTCCCCCTCCTCTCTTGGGGAGGGATGCTGCCTGGAGATGGGGATCTGCCCCCTTCCGGGCTCTCTCCGCCCCGCACCTGGGAGGCCACCTCCCCCCTTGCCGCCTGCAAGAGCCGGGGGCTGGGTGCAACAGGGGAACCAGCGGGGCATCCCAGGAGGTGGTGAACACCTTTGCCTTCTCTGCCAGGTCGTATCCACGGCCTTCCTTATCCTGGGTATCTTCGCCATCTTCGACACGGACAATTTGGGTGTCCCAAAGGGCCTGGAGCCCATCGCCATCGGCCTCCTCATCATCCTGCTGACCTCTTCTATGGCCCTGAACAGTGGCTGCGCCATGAACCCTGCCCGAGATCTGGCCCCGCGTGTCTTCACATACCTGGCGGGATGGGGGGCCGAAGTCTTTACGTGAGTCCACTGCTCTGGGCGTGGGGGCACAAATGAGGCATCAGCCATTTTTCATTGCTAAGTTGGTGGCCCTCAAGAAGAGCCTCCAGGCCATGTGGAAACCAGGGGGGCGTGGAGGGGGGACGACTCAATTGGCAGCATGGAGTGGGGCCCAGAGGCCAAGCAGAAGGGCGTTTCCCGAGGCCACCACGTGCATCCAGGGAAGAGGGCGATCGGAACGTGCTTCAGCTGGGCAGATTGGCGGTGCCTCCTTACCTGGAACAAAGTCCAGGAGAAGCGAGAGGCGATGTAGCTAGCTCTGCTCTCCCGAGCGCTTTCTCACGCGTCCCGGATAATCTTCCCCTCCTTCAAAGATGCAACCGGGCGCTGCTCTCCTCTGGAGCCACAGAGGAGCCAGCGCGCCGCAAGGCTGACATCTGGCGGGCAACCACCACGGCTGTTCCTAGCCAGAGCTAATAACTGCATCTTCATTTGCTTACTGAGATCCTGGGAGCCTCAAAAATCAGAAAGCTGCTTTAGACTTTTTCTAGCGTCAGCAACACAGTGACGTTTTACTTCTGTATGGACATACATTTCCAAATTAAGGGGACTTTGCAGACTGAACAGGCTTAATCCTTGTCCTCGGGAGCAATGCAGTTGCCTTAGGAAGAGGAAATCCTGCTGCGCTGTCTCACAGAAGCAGAATGGCCGTCTTTTAACTTGCTCTAGTTTGCACCTGCAAGCATGGGGTAGAAGAGCCAGGAATGCGTTTTTCTGCAGTCAGGCAACCTTTAATTAAAGACCCACTACCCACACAAAGTTTTGCTTCAAACAACTGAGCACAACGGGCAACTTTTCGTAGTGGAATATTTATTTATTTATCTATTTATTTGTTTATTTATGTGTCACATTTATATAGCCACCCATCTCACACAAAGCGACTCTGGGCTTATATCCCCCGCCCAACCAGAAAACACACTGCAATTCAGCAGCACGGCAATGTCACCGGGTGGGTTCTAGGCGAGAAATAAAGGATCACAGGGGGCTGATTGCTAAGAAAAGGGTTCGCATGGAAGTAAGTCTCTTATAGCAAAATTTAAATCCATAATAAAACTTGCCCCCTTCTTTTTCGCCCACAGGGCTGGCAGTCACTGGTGGTGGGTCCCCGTTGTCGGCCCGATGGTTGGTGCGGCTGTCGGAACTGCCACCTACATGCTCTTCATTGAACTTCACCACGCTCCCGTGCCCCTCTGCCAGAAGAATGCCCCTGACACCCACCACGAGTATGAGCTTACCCACCTGGAAGAAAGGAAATAGGGCCAACGAAGCTGCCCCACCCCAGCCCCACCGGAAGGGCCGATGCCGCTCCCTCCTCGAGGACCGCACGGCCCACAGGAAAGCCACTCAGTGGCAGGAGGCAGAATTAATAGTCCCTGCTCCCCCTCACCCTGCCCCATTCAAGAAAGTGATATCTAAATCTGAAAGCGATTCATCACTCTGGGAAGGATGCTCGGAGCACTTTCTGCTCACTTCTGGTCCATCTCCCCCCCCCCCCCCGCCCCCCACCAGTCCCCCTCCCACCCCCCTGTATTTTCCCCCTGTATGTCTA